GCGTCACTTCTGGGAAACAAGATGCCCGCAAGTATAAGAACTCAAGAATGAGCAACTTGCATAGTATTTAATATCAAACTCAACGCAACCTTTTGATACCTGATTCATTTCTCTGTATTCTCACAAATGTATAGGTGCTTTTGAACAAATGGATAAAAGAGGAGTTGGTTAAATTATTTTGCTTTGACACCCAGTCTTTATCTGCACACAAAGACAAATGTGACTGTTAAGTCTATTTTTTCTGTTCTCTTGTTCCATAGTCAAAGTTTCTCTGGGCTATTGTCAAGTGTGTGCATTTTCTCATGAGTAAAAGTAAAACCCACCACTGCTGTCCTTTGCTCGGTATAAACAAAGTGGATAACTCTGTTTAATGGTTTCTCTGTTTGATGGTGATGTGTTCATTCATTCATTCAACAAATATTTAATGAGCCTCTACTATGTGTCAGGCACTGTTCCAGGAACTGGAAATGTAGCCCCGAACAACAGTATTTGTATAACATGACTGAAGAGTTGATCCAGTACATATAGAAAAAGATATGCTTAAAAAAATGACAACAACAACAAAAAATGCCAAACTGCCAAGTGGACTTTAAAATATCTGCTGTTCAAAGGTTCATTTGCCACTGAAAAATGTAGGAGTATAGAATTCCACATTTCTGGATGATGTGTTGTAAACTTCCATTTGTATACAGGACAAAAATTTGATCTTAAAGTTATTAGCCTCAGGTACCTGAGTTTTAGACATGTTTTTAGATTCTGAATTCTGTGTCATTTTATGAGGACTGAAATGAAGAAAAGATGATTGTGAAGTGATTTCTAAATAAAAGAAAAAATGAGATTTCCTTGTCTGAATGTATCTTACCACCTGCCCAAGGACCTCTGTGGTTGTGACTTAACAGACGGTGCCTTTTGCTCAAGAACCCCGCGCTTAGGCTTCTGAGTACCTAGGACAGGGGCAAAGAATGGTCCTGTATGCTGTTACACAACGACGATGCTTACAGATTCCAGAATATCATTTGCCTTAAAATATTTGCTCTTCCAATAAGAATTTTCAAAGCAGATAATTGGAGTTCTCATTACAGCAGAGTCTTTCCCTTTAATCAAAGAAGTCATTGCAGGCAGTCCTTTAGTGAGTATCATAAGACCCTTAAAACTGCTTTTATTAATTAGAATCCTGTTTACATTCAACTTTCCAGGATCACATCTGTTAAATTGCAATGGATTTTGTGCACCTGGTCTTAAGATTGAACATTTTAATGGCCCCCAAAGTCAACCCCACGCTTTCAGACTTTAGAATTTCAAAAGCTTAATTACTAACATTTTATGTGCATGTGAATTTCAAAGTACTCCCCCACCCCATTTATGGACATATCCTGTATGATTTCCTCATTCTTCAAAGTTCTCATAATTGCTTCCACTTTAAAGAAAAAAATCATAATAATATGAAGAGATGAAAACTTGGAGTAATGACTCGATATCAATAATTAACTAATGGGTCCAGATTTATAAGAATTAACTTTAGACGCAGCTATCTGTACATTTAGAGAATGTTTCAGTGAATTGAATGCTGTCTTTTAAAAGATCAGTTTATAATACATTGGCAAATGAATTGGTATAATTTTCAAATGAATTACAATTTTGTTTAAAAGCAGAAAACTTAACAATAAAAGAACTAACAGAACCTTCAATTTGAGCTATTTATATTGCTCCAGCTTCTCGTCCTATCTTTAATATGTGTGTGTACACTTTTGTCAATATCAGTGTATTTTGTGTTTGTCTTTGTTCCCATTAGCATCGTTTCACATAACTATTATACCACATGCACATCTCCTGACATTCACATTCTTCATGTACCAGCCAGTTAAAATAATCATTCAAGGGCCAGGGATATAGCTTAGTGCCACCGTGCCTGCAGGGCAAGTACAAGGTCCCGAGTTTGATTCCTGGTACAAAAAAAAAAAAAAAAAAAAAATTCAAAACTCATAGCACTTGAATTGTAGCATCAGTTTTCCTTTTTTGGTATGGTTCTTGAGCAATAATTTTGTTAATGAGAGGAACACAATATATTGTTGTATCACCAGAATAAATTAAAATGACTTTTCTCATTTAAGGCTGTCAAAACAGTGAAAACGGCCTGAGACTCAAGACAGTGGTCAGGAGCTTTGTACTGTGCAAAACTCTGAAATGTTGTCTTGTTATTTTTATTTCTCCATGTGAAGTTGAACACCAGCCTTTGTTGGACCTGTCATCCTGACATATTTCTAATCCCAGGCGTCATGGCCCACTAGTGGGGTGTACATTTGTGTGTGGGTACTTGGACTTGGGACACCCAGGGCCAAGATGGTGATTTCCTTCCCAAGAGCCATAGACTAGTAATGGAGCAGAAGCTGCTTGTCATCCTGGCACCTGTGCCAAAGTCATGTGACCAATGAGTGACTGACATACCTTGGCTGTGTCCTTCCCTTTGTGCACCTGACCACCTGTTCTTTTGTATGCAGGAGCTGGAGGAGAAACACCGGGAAGCCCAAGTTTCAGCCCAGCACCTAGAAGTACACTTGAAGCAGAAGGAGCAGCATTACGAGGAAAAAATTAAAGTAAAGGCACTTTGTGGTCTTTCCTGGTATTCCTCCAATTGTGCTATGCAGCTCCCTTCTCATGCTGGGCCATTTTGGTCCCTTCTTAGTAGGCCACAGGATTGTTGGGGGCAAATGCTATCCTAACTCCATGGTGGAAGGCTTGGTGTCTAAGGCTTAAAAAAGAAAAGGAAAAAAAAAAGTCATTATATATTACAATTCTGCCTTTAATTTTTAAAAAGCCTACTGTCAATTCAGTCCACAATAACTTAGCCACGCATTCACCACATTTCTTGCTTTTAATTTTCTTGCTGTATCTCAGACCTCATCTCCTTTTTCCTTTTGTTTAATTAAATACATCCTTAAGAACTTTCTTCAGTGAAGATGTGCTATGAAAGTTCTCGGTCAAGTTTGTCTGAAAATGTGTTCATTTCGCTCTCATTCTTGAAGAGGTGCTGACTGGGGCTAGAATTCTAGGTAAGCATTTCTCTGTTTTCATTGCTGTTTAAAGATACTGTCCCTTGACTTTTGGCTTCTAGTACTGCTCTTATGAAGTCATTTGCCAGTCTCACTGCTATTCTCTTTGAAAGTAATTCAATGTTTGCCTTTGGCTGTTCAAATTTTCACTTATTTTTAATTCTTTTGAAGCTTTCCTGTTACATGTCTGGATACGGATGCCCTTTTATTTATTGTGTTTGCTGTTTATTGGGATCTTTAATAAATTGGTGTTATCTTTTTTATTTTAAGTCAATCCCAAGAAATTAGTGGTCTCTATATCTCGAAGGTTTTCTCTTTCTTTCCTTTTGAGCACTTGAATTGCTGTGTTAGATACTTCTAGTCTATTCTTTCTCATATTTTTCATTTTTTGTCTCCTTGTGCCATGTTCTGGATTAGTTCCTCTGACTTATTTTCTACTTTCTTTCTACTCTACAATTCAAGCTATCTATCAGCTTTTTAATTTCAGTAATAGTATTTTTTATTCCTAGACGTTCTATTTTACTAGATTATTTAAAACAACATGCCAGGCCCAATCCTAGGTGAATCCTAGCACTTGGTAGACTGAGACAGCAGGATCATTAATTCAAGCCCAGTGCAGATGAGTGAGATCCTTCTTCAAAACACAAAGGCAAACAAAAATACAATGATTTTTGATTCCATGTTTATTTTCCAGCCTTTCACTTCTTGAGCTGCATCAAGCATAGTTGTGTGATGATACATACTTTGAAGGTCTGTTGTCGCTCTGTTTCCATCATTTTTAAAAATTAAGTTTGTTAGTGCATTTTAAATATAAATGATGATCACATTCACTATAGGAAATTTTTGTCTGTACATTTTACAACTGGATTATGTTTTTTCCCACCCTGCTACCCTCCCTTCAACCCCTCTTCTGCTCCTTATTCACAAAAGCTTTGTTCTGTTTTTTCCTTCTTTTCTTTTCCTTTCTTCCTTTCTCCCTTCCTCATCCCTAGCTCCCCTTCCCATTTGAACATTTTCTTCCTATTTTGTAATACGTATTATACGTTTGTATGTTTTATTCATACATTATACATTTTATTTACACTTGTGGTTTCTCATCCTAGAGAAACAATGCAGTATTTACACATGTATGTCCGATATACTTAAGGATATGGCCTTAAGGTGCATTTGTTTAGCTGGAGGAGAGATGTCTCAAGCTTATTATCCTTCTTTATGACAGAGTGATACTCCATTTTATAAAAAAGCCCCATCTCTTTTATCCATTCGTTGGTTGCTGGGCATTTGAAGATTTAGCTATTTAACTGCGCCACTATAACCATAGGTGTGTATATATTGCTCTTGTATGATGCTTTTAATCCTTAGAATCATGTATGTTTCATGTCAGTCATTTGTGTGCCTAGGGAATTGTCTATTTTCCCTGGAAAATCATTAATGGGTATTTTTTTTAAGCCCTTGAATAAAAATGTGCTCATCTTAGTTGGAACTCTGGGCTTTGATTTCTTTTTCTTCTTGACCTTTGAGATTATCAAAACTGAAGCCCAAGGCCAGCATGGTATACATGCCTCTAATCCTAGTACTTGGGAAGCTGAAGCAGGAGGATTGCTGTGAGTTTGAGGCTAGCCTGGGCTACATAGTGAGTTTCATGCCAGTCTGAACAATGTAGCAAGACCCTGTCTCAAAAACAGAAAAACTTAAAAAAAAAAAAAAAAACAACAAAAAACCCCACACAATGAAGCCAGGGCCGGCCAAATAGCTCAGCGGATTAAAGCCTCTGCAATCAGGCCCGGGGCAGAGTTTCAATCCCCCCAGCCTGCTGTGCCGGCCCCAGGAGCTGAGATGGCAGTTGAGATAGGGCGTAGTGGCACACACCTGTAATCCCAGCTCTTGGGAGGCTGTAAACTGGAGAATCACTACGAGTCTGATCTAGTAGTGAGACCCTGAACACTCTGTAGACCCTTCCCTAAAAATACAGGAAAAAACCCAACCCAACCAAACCAAGGTCCCCTTTACCCCACCCTCCCAAAGCAAAACTAAAGCTCAGGTTTATTTGGTTTAATAAATGTTTATTTAGTTTAAAAACAGCCTTTGAAATTGGGCCTGGTGACACAGGCCTGTCATCCTAGCACTGTGAGGTTGAGGCAGGAATATAGTAAATTTGAGCCTGAACTAGGCAACTTGGTGTCTTAGTAAGATTGTCTTAAAATAAACATAGGTCTGATGATGTGGCTCAATGTGAAGATCAAGGTTTCAATTCCCAGTACTGCAAAAACAAAACAAAAAGAGACATCAGAACCAGCTTTGTGTCATCCTTTTTCCAAAACCCTTTTGCTTTCACTTAGATTTTATCTGAAATTTCTTACTTTCTTAACAACTTTTAAGTGTTTCCAGGAGAAATGTTGTGCTATCAGAAATGGTGCCAGCCTATCACTCTCCTTTGAAAATCACATTGCATTTTCTTTTTCTTGAGATAGGATCTCATTGTATAGTTCAGGCTGGTCTTGAACTCACTATGTAACGCAGGCTGACCAATTTTGTGACAATCCATTTGTAGATTTTATTGACATCATCAGTGTTGAGTGGTCTTTTCTTGGGGCATCAAACATACACATAGTTACCCACATTGTCACCATCACTGCTTTGGCATGACATTCAGTTACTTTTCATTGAAAGAAATAGAGGAAAATAATCCAGAAGTGACCTCAAAGTGTTTTCATGTATCCCTCTCCATTTTAGTGCATTTAAAATTTTATATAACAATCTTTATTTTTTTTTTTTAAATTATGTAGTTATTTGGTGTAGGGTCTCACTATGCAGCTTGTAGTGGTCCTCTTGTCTCAGCCTCCCCACCACTGGCATTACAGGTGTATGACCAGCACAGCAAGCCTGGCTGGCACGGCATGTGGTACTGGGGATCAAACTAGGGTCCTTACACTTGCCAGGCAGGTGCTTAGACCACTGAGCTATCATCCCCAGCCCCTCAAATCTTTCTTTTTAGATTGAAATTTTTACTGGCTTCCATACTTTTTACCTTGAGAATAAACAAATTTCCAGAAAATGATGAGTCTCTATAGAGTAGTCCACTGGTATCTTTTGATGATCACAGTAGCCCTTTGTAAAATCCATACTAATACTCATATCAAAAGCCATATTTTATTGTCCATTGACATAGACATCTTTGGTGAAATCTCTCATTGCTCCCCCTCCTACTCAGTTCCTCTTCTTGCTCATTCTTCTGCCATTTGAACCCTATCAAAGCTCAGAGATGGTTCCATTCCTGATACAGTCTTATGCCTTCTGGTTCACTTATACCTCTTAATGGTATCCGTCACTGCCAAGGTTGAGATCTTATTTTGAACAGAGTCATCCTGAAAATGCCTTTCACTGTTAAAGCACATCATCAAAACGAAAGGAAAATGGTCAAGGTATTATGTGGTCTCCACTAACCTTCTAGATAGAAAGAACTTTGTTTTATTGATATCAGAGAAGGTTAGGGAAAGATCTGTTGTCTATCTTCTCTACTGGAATCTGTACAGAACCATTTCCTTTTAACCTTTTCTGTTTTATGTTTCCTGTACCAGCTTTTATAAAGTCATTTTAGTAATGGTTATGATCATACCCTTGCTGCAACCCTGTTCTTGCTCATAATTTTAGAATCCTACTCAGACATCCAAGAGAAGAGGCCACTTATCATCCTATTGAGCTGTTTCCCTCTTCTCATGACCCTGTTCTTCACCTTTTGCTCTTCTCTGCCAACTCTCATTCTGTGTTTTTCATCAGTCCTAGTTTAAAGCCTTCTTTGAAACCTGTTCTCTCCTTTATCATGTGGACCTCTTCCCTGCTGACTGGCTCTTTTTAGGAATGATGTCCCCATGAGCCATGAAGGCTTCTTCACAATAGGCATTGTGGGAAAGGCAGATTTCAGTCCTGTCCATGACCCCAATTCTTGCAGCTTTATCCCCAATATCCTGTTCTTCTTTATGCAGTAGTATCATTTGCAAAAGTAGAATTGATTCTCTCTGATAAGAAACACAGGGTCATGTCCAAAGGCTCAGCCGTGTTATAATGTCTTCTTCCTTCCTTTCTTTTTGCTTGTTTTGGCAACTGGTAGAACTGTGTGTCTCAGAACTTTAGATCAAGCTGGTAGTTGGTGACACCATTACTGTTTTATTTCACTTTTACCTCTTGGGGATAGTAGGTGCTCACCGTGGTGTTCTCAACTCTGAGAACACATGATTTCTATTCTCCTGGGAAAGGTTTCTATTCCCACTGACTTTTCTTTTTTCTAGCTAGATCAGAGGAAAGAAGTGTTTTTTTTCTTTTTTCTTTTATGCTATCTTTTCCATCCATTGACTACCTGTGTTTTTGGTGGGCAAGATCTTGTCCCTGGCTATTTCTGAACTCTGCCTCAGTCACACAGACTTCCTCTTCTCTTCAGCTTTTTCCCTCCACACAAGCCCCAAGCATATCCAGAGTTAAATTTATACAGATTAGCATCAAGGAATATTCTGAAAACCACTGGTTTGTTGGCTAAGAAAAAGTTGTCCTCAGGTAATATTTGCAAATTATAAAAACTTTAGTTTTGAGATGTAGATTGCGAGGAAGATCTTCCTTGCCTGTCTCATTCTAGAGTCTAATTCATTTTGGGTATCTTTTGAGTTGTTGATTTTAAGAGACATTCCTAAAGACCCATTGTTCTTGCCATTTGGTAGTGGTATCTCAGTCCCTAACCTTACCCTGAGTTGCCTTGTTTTGTTCTTGCTTTGGAGGTCATGGGCCTCCCTGCTACTGCTTTCCCCTCTTCCCCAACTCCTTTTTCATTGTTTAGTTCTCGCCTAGGTGAGGCTTGCCAGGACATTCACTTTTCTTGTTTCCATAGGTGTTGGATAACCAGATAAAGAAGGACCTGGCTGACAAGGAGAGCTTGGAGAACCTGATGCAGAGACACGAAGAGGAGGCCCACGAGAAGGGCAAGATTCTCAGCGAGCAGAAGGCGGTAGGTGGAAGGACTCACAAAGCCAGTTTTCAAAGGAGTACTTTTGAAATTTGCTGAGAATCACTCACATGAGAAGAGTCCCTTTTATCTGGTGACTTCCTTCTGTGTAAGCTTGTGGAATTTGTAGGAAATAGGAAGTTTTCTTTGAAACCATGTATTATTCTCAAAGCCACAGAGCTGGTGGCTCTGGGTGGCTAGTTTTATACTCTTCTTTAATAACTCCTGCTAATCCTAGCCCCTCATGTGAGCCTTTAAAACGACCGGTGGCTTTGGTCATTCCTGCATTTTTGTGCTAAATTTGACTATTTCTGTCCTTTCTAATCCATGTAGGCAGTTGTTTCAGGAAGTGGCAGCTAACAGCATTCATCTATGATGCTTCCTCTTCTTTTTTTTCCCTTCAGTACAGGGTCTTGCTACGCAGTTCGGACTCGTAGCAGTCCTTCTGTCTCAGCCTCCTCAGTGCTGGGATAGGCATGCGCCAGCATGCCTGGTTTTCATGCTGCTTCATAATGCTACTGTATTATGTGTATTATATTCTCATATCTCCTAAGAGCTTTCCCTGCTGAGACTTCCCACATCAGAATCGCTAAGGGAGGGTCCAGGGAGAGTATATTTTTCACCAATACCCATCCTATTCCACTCCCAGTACTTATGATTCAGTAAGTTGGGGAATATGAATATGTGATCAAGGTGAACTTGTGCATTCAAGTTAGAGATTCCTGCAGGTCCAGGTCACATGCAGAAGGCAGGACTGTAAGGGACTCTATTTACAGAATGTCAGGTTCTGGAATAGTTCCTTCTGTGTATTTTTAATAGAAGTCATTCAAATTGTGGAAGGGGAAGCATTTAATTTTGATTGGAAAAACCATGGAGTACCAGCTGTTTGAGTGGTGACAACTGTAAGCTTCAGGGTCTGGGCTAGTTGAGTGCCTTGTTACCTCTGGCCACACCAGTGATGTTGCAGATGAGACTTTTACCTTGGCTCACATGCCCCACATTAATCCCATTCTGCTATTAACTGTGTGTGAAGTTTCAAAAATCCCGTGTTTCAGATGATCAATGCCATGGATTCCAAGATCAGATCTCTGGAACAGAGAATTGTGGAACTTTCGGAAGCCAATAAACTTGCAGCAAACAGCAGCCTCTTTACCCAAAGGAACATGTAAGTGTTCAGATTCTAACTGTGTACATTATTATGCTTTGGTCTTCTCTCATCATGCCTAGACTTTGTTCTCCTTCAGTTTGACAGAGCTGGAACAGATTTATTCTTGCCCCAGCCCTGCTAATACTTGTTTAATTTTGCAGTCTCTTCAGAGGGTTCTCTTGAGTTGGGTTTTCTTAAATACCTCACATTGCCATCAATGTTTTGCTCTCTCCAAGGAGGCTATTTATAGCTTGCTTTGGAGAGCTGCTGCCCTTGTTCCCAGACTTGCCTCCCATAATTAGTCAGAGGTGATCGTGTGTGCACCCAGGTGGGCCATCCGTTCTGCTACAGTTAGGCCGAGCCCTGGGGAAGATGTCTGGACTTCACGAGGAATGTCTGTATGCAGGGCACTCTGATCATAATCTTTTTGCCTGAAAAATTGTACTCTCCAGGATGTTTTCCCCTTAGATTTTTTTCTTCCAAGATGTTTCAAAAACATTTCCTGATATAAACTAGTTTGATAGGCTGCTTTTCAGTCTTTGAGTTGCTCTAGTTTTGCTACTTGTAAACAGTTTGATGGTGAGGTAAAGAAGTCCTACAAGGAACTAGAAGCAGTGACACTTTTATCTTCTTTGCATCGTCTTCCCCAGAGCTTGTGTTAAGAAGGTATGCGGGCATTCTTGTAGCTAAGAGGGCCCCTTTCTGTTCCTCTGTACAGACTGTCCAAGAAAAAAATGAAAAGATTCACCAAAGGACTGGGGTGTTAGTATGTCTTGCAACCCAATTTTCTGTCCTTAATCCCAGAGGCAAGAGCCTCTCAGATTCCTGTCCTGATCCCCACAAGGGCGGATCAGGAGGGAGCTAACCTGGAAATGGCCACAGTTTGCTCGATAAGGACACACATTTTACCCCATTTCTGCCTGTCCTCCTTCTAAGGAGACATCTTCACCTCTGACATGACTGTGATTTTGTTTGGATCTTCCCACCACCCCTACCAGGAAGGCCCAGGAAGAGATGATTTCAGAACTCAGGCAACAGAAATTTTACCTAGAGACTCAGGCTGGGAAATTGGAGGCCCAGAACCGAAAATTGGAAGAGCAGCTGGAGAAAATCAGCCACCAAGATCACAGTGACAAGAGTCGGCTGCTGGAGCTAGAGACAAGATTGAGGGAGGTGAGAATGAGGACTGATCTTTTGAGAGGTTTTATTGGAGCTTGCAGGCCTCAAACCAACCAGTTCTCAAGCAAAAGTTGGTATAGATGCAGGAGGCATTGCACGTGACAAGAACCACATGGATCAGAATCTATTCGCCACCTCTGTCCAGTTTTATAATTTTGCAGGCTACTCAGTCTTTCTATGCTCCAGTTTTCTTGTTGGTCACATAGTCTTAATAGAGGTGCCTCTTTCTTAGGGTCTTGTGGGGATTACATAAATTGGTACATTTGTCACATGAGAGCAGCACCATTCCTCCTTTACCCTAGAGTTTATTTTATTTATTTATTTTTTACCCTAGAGTTTAATGAGGGCCACACAATGCCCATACATGGATCTCAGCACTGTTAGGTGTGTAACATAGCTCAGTGACAGGCGGGTCTGTGAGTGACAGAGGTCTCATAATGACAGGGGAAGAGTGAGGCACAAAACCAAACTTAGGTTTGCCTGATGGAAGATACTCTCTTCAAATGAGGTCAGGTGTGTTCAGGCCATGCACAGTAATTCTCTTGAGAGACATAAGAGAGCTGGAAAGAAAACCAAGTTTTTGAGAGGAAAATATAGCAAATTTTGTTGTTAATATGTGAAGAGTGGTTGCAGCCATGAAGCTGCTTTCCTATATTGTGTATTAAATGTGTGCTGTGTGTCATTTATTAGCCTGAATGTACAGTGGCAATGACAGTTTTTGATCTGGGGGGCTTTCAACCTAGTCTCAGGGGGTAGGTGGCCACACAGAAGCAGGACTTGAGTTAAGAACAATGATTATTGGAAGTTGGACAGACGGTCTGGGAATGAAGACACAGTGTCTTGTGCGTGGTAGACACTCAAATATTTGTGATGGAATTCTTCAAAGAACAGGTGATCTTTCTTAGGGAAAATACTGTTAAACATACAAATCTGAGGACTAAGCCTTGGGGAATAAACATGTCTAGGAATGTCTTAATTTGTACTAGAATATTAAAATGAAGCCCTTTTCTGGAGGACAGAAAAATAGTAGCATCTCCTGTTTTCCAGGAGTTGGGGAGGTATGACCCAGGTTCTTTAGGGTCACCTGCCGTGTTTCAACATGCAGAGTCCTAGGTGTTCACCTACAGTTTTTAAGATGGAACTTACAAGGGGAAAAGGAATTTGCATCTTTAACAAGTGACTCCTGTTCTTCCTGGAATTTGAGATTGTTTAAAAGCCTTGGGGCCAGGGGTAGCTTTTATTAGCCAGGATATATTTTCATTTTTTCCTGGTAGAAGCAGGCTTCAGGGTATGAATGCAAATAATCCAGACAGATTTCTTTATCCTGGGAACATTTTCTGCTATCTTTTTTTGCCTTCCTTTTCTGCATATGTGGGTCTTAGCAAGACTGCCCTATGGCTTCTCTGAGCAATTACAATGTCCCCAGGAAGCTTGCTGCCTTTTTCATGAATTGCTATGGCTAGCCCCCCCAAGGAGGTAGGAGAAACTTAAAATGTTTCATGAGAGGCTCAGGGCTCTATTCTTCCTAGGAGTTGTGGAGTTTAGCTCTAAATTTAACAAGACTGGTCTATCTTTTCTTGGCCACATGCTGCTACTGAGATTGAGGACAGAGGCCTCAGCTTCCAATTTGTTCTACCTTAAAGGGCACTTAGCTTTTGCTAACTTTTTGTTGGGGCTGGGGGCTTGGCTTGGCTTTTCTTCTTTTCCTGCTTCTGTGTTTGTTTCTTCCTCTTCCTCTTCCCTTTTTTAATTGCCTTTCTTTTTGAGAAAGATTTCACCTTGAACTCACTGAGTAGCTCAGGCTGGCCTCAAATTCCCACCAATTCTCCTGCCTCAGCCACCTGAGTGCTGGGATGACAGACATGTGTCACCATGCCTGCCTTCTTCCCCAACTTGTTTGTAATGGTACCTCTTCTTCAGCAATACATGTGGAGTTGCCAGGGTGCAGAGCCCCTGAATTCTCATTTTGTGGCTCAGGATCTGTATCTGTGACCTTTCTGTTAATCAGTGCCAAGGTGCACTGGGAATTTTCAGGCTTGCTGCAGAATCCTAACTGCTCTGACTATTGGCATTTAATAAGACAGACAGGTACAACATTTGTAAGTATAGACTTGAGCCAGACTTCTTGGTTGAAATGCCAGTACCCCCCCCCCCCATTAACTTACCCGCCTTTTGCTCAGTTTGCTAATAGCTCAGGGCCACAGCTTGCTTATCTGTAAGGTGGAGGTGACAGTAGGATCTCCTTTATTGGGCTTTCATGGGGATGAAATGAATGAATACAATGCCTCTGTTTTGTAAGATTTCACATCATTATCATCGTCACTGTCATCTTAATCATCGTTATTAGAGAGGCCTCACAGTCATGGTTTCAGCTACCCCTGCTTTATTAAGAACTTGCATATGTAGGTCACAGCCCTGACCTTTCTCTTGAGTTTCTGACCCATTGTTGTGATAGTCATTAGACATCTTCACTTGGATGTCTCCCATGGAGCTCAGGCTCAACATGATGAGACTGTATTTCTTGTCTTTCTTCTCAAACTGGCTCTGGCTCTCCTCTTCCTTGTTGTAGCCAGAGCTCTCCCTTTCTGTGTACTGTATCTGTCCAGAAATTCTGGCTACACCTTTGACTTTCTTCTGTCCCTTTGTTCCCTGCCTCACCTTTAGTTAACCACTAACTCCTGTGTGTTAAGTCTTTTGCAATTCTTTCTTCTGCTTGAGATGTGGATGTCACATTTTCTGGAGAGCCTTCTTCACTTCATGCCCCATTTGTATCCCTGAAGCTTAGTGTGCTAAGCTCATTGCCCTGGGTTCCTCTTGGCTGTCTCCTTAGACAGGGAGCTCTCCAAGCATAACAAACATCTCTTATTTGCTTGGCCTTGGTCCCGAGAACAATTTTGTGAGCATTTGTTAGGTCAGCATGTGTGCCATGGTGTTGCTCATATGTGTAATTTTGGATGTCTTGCTTCCTCCATCTGGAATTTTCTTTCCCTTCTTATCTGCTTGTTTGACTCGTTTAGATTTGTTTGGAGAATTTAATAGATTCAGAATTACCTTCTGTACCTCTCTGCTGTGGTCTCATGACTTCCCTGCATGTCCTGACCACTGCATTTGACCGTCATATATGGGAATGATGGATTTCATGAAGACAGAGACTGTCTTTCATCTCCATATTCCTTTCTACATAGAAGTTGCTGTCTAAGCTTTTCTTAAATGAATGGATGAGACGTTGAGTAGATACAAGGATGGATGGATGGACAGATACAGGGAGGAATTATTAGCTCTCTATGTGACCTTAATGTGGGGTACCTAAGGAGAGTAAATCAGAGAATCACTGTTTAAAAATAATTCAGCCTGGTGTCTATTGGCATTTTAACTTTAAAAGTGTTCCTGTTACTAATATGATGTTCTTTATATCTGCTTACCTTTAAATGCTCTTGTAATAAGAATAATTATCATTTGAAATTTTTACGGCGTGGTTTTTCTTTTGAAAGCTGTCCATTCATTTGGATATTTGTAAAGGATGATTAATTCGTATATACAGTCTTATATCCATAGGGGAGTGGCTCTAGGATCCCCCAGTGATCCCAAAATCTGCAAATGCAAGCTGGTTGTGGTGATGTGTACCTGTAATTCTAGCTACTCAGGAGGCTCTGGCAAGAAGATTATAAGTTTAAGGCCAGCTCGAGCAACTATCTCACAAATGGAAGGAAGAGAAGAGAGGAGAGGAGGGGAGGGGAAGGGAGGAGAGGAGAGGAGAGGGGAGGAGAGGGAAGGGAAGGAAAAGAAAGGGAAAGGGAGGAGAAAGAAAGAAAGAAAGAAAGAAAGAAAGAAAGAAAGGCAGGCAGGCAGGCCGGCCGGCCCGGCCGGCTGGCCAAAGATGTAACTCAGTGATAGAGCGCACATGAGACCCTGTAATCAACCTCTAATATTGGGAAAAACAGTATACCAAACCAACCAACCCAGATGCTCAAGTCCCTTACATAAAATGAAGTAGTATTTGCATATAACCATCTCATGACCTACGTAAACTATGCATCCTTCCTGTATACTTTAAATAATTTCTAGACTACCTAATACAAGATAAATTCCATATAAAGAGTTATTATACTATATTATTCTGGGGATAATGACAAGAAAAAAAGCCATGCGTGTTTAGACATGTCCAGTACAAACGCAGTTGCTTTTCTCTGAATATTTTCAAACAATGGCTAGTTGAAACCATACGTGCAGAACCCATGGATCTGTAGGGCAGGCTATACATGCCCCTGTGTATACTCAATCCTGTTGATCTTTGAGGTGCAGGAAAGTCAGACCCATTGTATACCCCACCCTCTAGCCTTGAGTGCTTAGAAATTGTTTCTGAGACAAAGTTTAAGGTGCAGGTTGAATAGCAGGTCACATCTTCACTTTGTCTTCCTTTAAGGTCAACAGAGTCTTTCTTTCTTTCTTTCTCCCAGGTCAGTCTGGAGCATGAGGAGCAGAAATTGGAGCTGAAGCGCCAGCTCACAGAGCTGCAGCTGTCCCTGCAAGAGCGTGAGTCCCAGCTGACAGCCCTGCAGGCTGCCCGGGCCGCCCTGGAGAGCCAGCTTCGCCAGGCAAAGACAGAGCTGGAGGAGACGACTGCAGAAGCTGAGGAGGAGATTCAGGCTCTCACGGTAGGTCTGTGAGTGGAATCTCAGGCTAAGCCATCTCTGCTGGGATGAATGTGGTCTCTGCTCTGATGAGTGTGGCACGGAGGATCTTTGTTCATTCATAGCAGTTTCAAGTAGGAACAAGTCATCCGCAGAGATAGTTGCTGGACAGAAAAATTGCCTTACACAGACTTTTTCATCGGAATTCAGTATATCGTCTCTAGTAATACCTATGCTTTCGTTAGTGTCCTGAAAAAATTCCTTTTCTGTTTATTTATCTTTGAAATAGTCATCCTTATATGTCAAATTTTAGTCTTGGACATTCTGTTCTCCTGGGTCTTCTACTTTAGTTTTAATAATCATTTAAGTAATATGAGTCTTATAGCTTCTAGTAGTCTTTCTACCATATTTCTGGTTTTCTTTTTTGTTTTGATTAATTTTATTTGTGTTACTATATATTTTTTTAAGGCTATTTGATTTTGTTCTATGTCTTTTTTGTGCCTCTGGTATGATCTGAATGGGAAATCTTTTGAATGAGAGATTCATCCTCCAAAAAGGACCTGGCTTCCCTCCTCTTCCTGAGAGTGTAGTTTACTTAGCTGGAGAGTTTTCTCAGGAGATAGAACTTGGAAGACTATCACTCAATTTAGATCTCAGTTCTTTCTGAAAGTCTAAAAGTGAGACTTTTGAGCCATTGTGCTGTAGCTGATCATTTTTATAGTAATATATTCAGATTAATCAAACAAGAGTTGCATAAAATGCCAACTCACTAACTTACAGAGAGAAATACAACGGTCAATTTGACTGTGACACTCAGTACGAAAGAGTTCCAAGAACTCCAGTCTTTTTTTTTTTTTTTTTTTTTTTGCAGAACCGGGGATTGAACTCAGGCCCTTGTGCTTGCCAGGGAAGCACTTATTCTACTGAGCCATCCCCCCGGCCCTTTGACTGTGACACTCAGGATATCCACTCTTCACATTTTTTTCTCCCCCTTTCAGAGAAGTCTAGTTAGAAAATCCTATTCTTGGAAGGCAGCTTGGTGGCCCTGGACTCTTAAGACTAAAAGCTGAATGTATTTTAATGGCTAGTGTCAACTGGGCACATACGTTTCTCTTGGGAATATAATGTATCTGCCAAGCCGATGGGCACACTTATGCCTGCCGGTCAGGATGCCCTCTTCCTGGGAGGACACAATGCCGCTGATTGGGTTTTGAATGAGTACCTTCTCACTGTGACTCAACTTGGCTGATGGCCCTATCTCCATCTGCTAACATCTCTGGACATCGAGTGGCGTTACTTCTGTAAATGGCCAGGCACATTCATTGCTTATGTTTTACCTTGTTTGATTCTCAGAAGTGATCTTGTTGAGTATGGGGATCCCATTTGTCTTAGTTACTTTTCTCGTTGCTTAAACAAATACTTGAAACCCAAAGTTAGAGGAGGAGAGGTTTATTTCAGCTCACAGCTTGTACAGATTTCAGTCCCTAGTTGGCTGGCTCCAAGCAGGGTTAGCATGGCAGAGGGGCATTGTGGGCGAGAAACAATCAAGGGCAGGCAGAGAGCAGGGAAGCAGCTGTGCGGGAGCAGTGAGCTTGCCTTCCCTCGCTCCCTTTCTATTCCATCCAGGCTAGAAGCCTATTGATTGGTGCCATCTACACCCAGGGTTGGGCTCCCGTTATCCTTGCCCACAGCTATGCTAATTCCAATCAGTGAACTAATTTAGTACCACATACCCTTAAACTCTGTATTACACACCCTAGATCCAGCCAGCTCTGAAAAGTCCCACCTACTCTCACGAGTGCATGAGACTTTGGGTGGTGGTGGGGGAACCATCTAGATGCAACCCATAACATTATTTGAATCAGATTGGGAATGTGATCTTCTAGTGCCACAGTCTTAGGAGGCAATAAGGAGCACAGTGGCTTTTACATGACCCCAGTGATGCAGAGTAACTCCTGGAGGAATGTGCTTACACAACTTGGATTTTTCTAGGACTTATGCCAAGTGTGGATATTGATTGAGACTGTAGTTTCCATCCTCTCGATGAGGACACTCATCAAAGGATGCTATATGCACTCAATATTTCACTCAGCAAAAAATAATCATGATATCTCTGTTTACCCTTGGCTTTATTTTCAAGTGGATTGAAAGCAGTTTGGCAAGATACAAGCTAGTAAAGTAGGGAACAATAAGAATGAAAAGGCAAAGCAAGTAAGTATATAGAAGAAAAAATGGAGCTAGAAAGGACATTAATCTTCAAGAACACATGCCAAGAAGGCTTATACTTTTCCTGGATTGGAGTGGGTGGAGGGAGAGACAGAAAGAACGATAACATTTCTTAACTACTATAGAGAGACACCTAAGTTGAGCCACTTTATTAATGCATTGTATATTAATATTTTCCCTCTATGAAAACCCTAGCTCTGAAAGGATATCAATGATTTAATCATATTTAATGAGAACTTGTTATGTGCCCAATGCTGTGTAGTTAGCCTTTTCTCCCCAGGGTATTGGCCTGCAATCCCTCAAATCCTTTTCTTTTGGAGCAGCAGAGAAGAGCACATTTATCTCACTGCTGTGTTGGAATTGGGAGGGCAGGTGGTGGCCATGCATCTTATCCTGCCCCTGTTTGGAAGGAGGAGGATATAAAATAGAGCATGTGTCATTGCTGTTTATCTGTGGGGAAATTAGTCCTTTAAATCCTGTCTTGCTGCTGGTTGGAATGTGCTGTATCTAGTGGCTGCTAGAAGCTGAGCACAGCAGCAAGTCACGACTTCATTTAGTCAGATGAGATCACTGCTTCAAAGCATCTTAAAAAATAAACCTCCGTAGGTCTAGAAAGTAGGGCTCTTGCAGACGAAGATGCCATGGAAAGTAGGGCTTGCAGAATGACAGCAGAAGTGGCTTCAGTTAGACAGCTGTTTGTAAACCCATTGTATGGAAATTCAAACTTCTGTCGTCAGTAGGCCTCAGCTGTAGGCTCCATCATGTATCTCCCCTGAAAAGGGATTGTGCCTAGAACCTTTGCACTAAATCATATTCACAGAGCAAGATTTTTTAAAAGAAAAATTTTTTTAAGTCAAGTTCTCATTTTTTTT